AAGTTATGGTAAGAAACGTAAAAAGAGATTTGGACCCTTGATCAATTTTATTCTCACTCAATTCATGAATTGATCAGATGCACAACATTAGTGTTGATTATCAATTAGGATCAATCCAAGAGTGGAGATTCCTTGTTACTCTTCTCACCGTAACTTTCATTCTCATTGGAAGTCAACCCCTATCACTATATATATATACACACACACACATACACACACTAGAAGGGTACTCGCGCAATGCAACGAGACAAATTTCGATTTTAATGTTTAGTTTTTATTCTGTCTCTATCAATATAATACAATTTTATGTGGTTTTGAGAAATTGATAATGTTTTTATTTTTTAATAAAATATAAATTTAAAAATACTATAAAATTTTGGAAAAAAAAATATCGATATCAGTATCAAATTAACCTTTTTAATTGTTCTTGTGTTTTGGTGTAATTTTCTTAATTCAATTTTTTTAATTATAATTTAATTTATGTTTAGTAACAAAGAAACTTAATTTAGGTTTAATAATATAATTTTTTATAAAGTAATAACTAAAATATTCTGTTAGAACTCAATGATTATTCTAATTATATTTTAGATTTTTTATATTTAAAAAGAGATGTTTATCCAATATTTGATTATGTTTATCCGCAATTAGTTACACGAATTCAATATGAAACTTTAATATGAAACTTTAAAGTTTATCCAATATGAAACTTTAATAAGTTGCACTTATGTACAATTTAGTTGTAATATTAAATTTTAAGTAATATGCATCAATAAACAATACTTCATGTATAAAAAATGGTTTTTAAGAGTTTTTCAAATATTTTGTAACATAGTATAGATAGTGTATGTATATATCTATACTATCTATACTATATTATAAAGCATTTGGCTAAAACTCTTAAAAACTCTTAAACTCTTAAAACTCTTAAACCCGTTCATCACTAAACAATTTCATCCCTATCCRATTTCATCCCATAACTGAATTCGTGTAACTAACTGCAGATAAACACAATCAAATACA